CTGCATGGTCATAGCTGACTAACCTATGGGCACATATTCTGATTCTGAGAAGATTCTAGGGCCCCTAAAACTGCCTGTAGGACAGCAAGCAAAATACCTCACCGGAGGCTGACCTCACATACGAAGCTAGTAGAGTAGGAACAGGGCAAAGCTTCCTCCGCCAAAACAAAACAAAAACAAAAGAACTACTTTGCACATAGCATCTTCCAGGATGGAAAAAAGTGATATACAAGGAGGCCTAAATTGAAGCTGAATTCCCAAGCAGGGAAAGTTTCCCTAGAGGGTAGCCTCAAATCAACAAAACCCACTTAGACACCTTCCCAGGCCCAGTCAAGACCTCCTGAATCATCTCCACACCAAAGGAGGCCCCAGGCACCCGATCCCATGAGTGTTCTGTTTTGTTTTCAATAGGAGAGAGCACTGGCAGGGTCCAAGATCTATGAACTGGCTCGGACCCCACAGCATGCATGTATTGCCTGTGGGCAATAATCACAGAGTTTTCTAGAGTTAGGCCCTAAACACCATCCACGAGACTTGGCCAGACAGTAGTAATGACCTACTTTCCACCCCCACCGGGAATCGGGGGTTATCTGGTCCTTCTTTGGGTCCTATAGGGATACAGAGCCAGGGATAGGGATCGGAAATCGTTCCAAAGCAACAGGCCAATTATCTTTATGTGCTAGAAAAGCTGGTGGGGAAGGGGATGTGGACCATCAAATCTTACTGCGTTAGGGAGGGCTGGAAGGGTTGGTGAGAAGACTTAGAAACAAGGACAAGTACACAGAAGCATCTGCTGCCTGAAGGACCTCAAAGATTGTCCCTCAAACCTGTGGTTCAAAAGTTTTTAGGGTCAAAGTGTAAGGGGCAAGGATTCAGGACTTCTGAGGTATAGCTGTGGCTAAGCCTCTGTCACTGGTCATTTCTAATACTTGATGTTCTTCCCTCTGTTGAGAATCCCACACCTCCGAAGTCGGCTACCAATTATAATTAACGCTGCACAAGATGAGGTAAGAAAGAAAGGGGGCTTCTCAGGTGGTCTAGAGTCAAGACAACTTTTATCACAAGCACATGCCAGTAGCTCACTTTTATGGTCTCCTCTCCATGGCCCTCTGAACCTCACTGCTCAGGGAGTTCCTCTAAACTGACCCCACATCACAGCATGCCCATCTTTTACACTGAGTTCTTGGTAAAGCCTCCTTCCCTCCATCCTCACTGTCCTGATTTGGGGGCACGGCACCTCAGTCACTGACTCCAAATGTGCAGCAGGAGACAAGAGGAAGGTACACCTGCTGACCTACTGCCACGCCACCATGGTGGATCTTATTCCACAGGCATGTCCCAACTTGACCCCTCTTCTGAAAGTTCTAGAGGACCTTGATTTGGGGGAGGGGGCACGGCACCAGCCTTAAGTCCCCTTAACTGGAGCTGACCCTAGAAAGATCAGAGTCTTAGCACCCATATGAGCCTCAGTCCTCACATTAGGGGGTGGGGGGTGGGCAGGAGAGCCTCTGGGAAAATCTCCCTCCCAGAAGTAGGTTGGCAAGTAGGGCAGGACCTGTGATCCTGCACAAGAGATTCTTCCAGCAGCACCCTAGTCCCTTCCCGGGGAAGATAAGCTAGAAGGATGATGGGGGGCAGGGTTGGGAGATTGGGAGGCCAGGGCTCAGCTACCCCGGCCGGGAGAACAAAAGCTGAGTTGCAGCCGCCTCCGCCGCTGCCGCCGGCCGAGCTCTTTGTGACACTTTGTTTGGGACGCAGAGAGGGAAGCACCCCCCATCCTCTCCCCTCCCCCACCCCCGCTCCGGGAGAGTTTGGGTCCCTTCCCCCTCTTCTATCAGCCCTACCTGAGCCGGGGGGCGCTCATCCACTCTGGCTCCCGGCTCGGCCGCCCTGCACCCCCAGGCCCCTCGCGCCCTGCCTTCGGGCCCCTACAAAGACGTCCGCGCCCCCCCCCCGCTGGCCTTTCCCCTTTGGTGTCCGCTTTCCCGGCTCCCCCACCTGGCCCCCCCTCCCTCGAGGCCCCCCAGCTCTCTCTGCTCCCGAGGCCGCCGCCCCCACCCCGCCCCCCCAGGAGCTCTGGGCGAAGTTTGCTTGGGGCCGAGCCGGCGCCCC